TGGCAGCGTGGGTTTTACAGCGCGAGACGCACTTTGGATGGATCATCCGGATTTCAGTTCAGCGCAGCGCTCACTGCTCCTGAATAGTTCCGTGAATGGTTTGGCGCACGGCTGCAGCAACGGGCCTCCCATTTATACGCAGACCCCGCATCAGACCGATTTCTACATGGACGGCCAGATGCTTCATCGTGACACCTCTGCTCATATGCTTGGCACAATGGATCGAGCCCAGTCACCGCATCATTACCATTACGCTGCACTCACTGCCGGTGCTGCTCCCTCAAGCATGTCTACGTTTTACGGTGGTCATCAAATTATGGTTCGTATTTCTAATATCCAAAAAAGTTATGTCGTTGTATGCGTTGTTTGCCGATCCTTGCTGTTTCTGCAGAACTTGAGGTTGTACGATTGTTTCATGAAGCGACACAATGGTGTCGCGTAGCATGTTGATATCGCTGTGCGTTTTCCATGCAGTAAGGGCAACTGATCATTTTGTCAACTGCGTTTGCTACTAACGTAAGTATTGGTTAAAGGGGGTTTTTTTGTAGTTTCTGGGTACGTTTTACTGTAAGCACAGCTCGTTTCTTTCATTTTTCACATGTTCTGAAAAAAATTCTGTGAAAATTGGGCAAAAGTGGTCGGAAATCTGGATTTCTGTTTAATTTGCAGATCGACTTCCCTTTGCTGGATGCATCTGGGGCTTCCTGTGTATCACCATGGGCCAACTTTAATCATCATCGGTTCTTTTTACAGCTATTTTGACGCTCCCAGTTGTCTTTCAGTCGCGATGTCCAGTTAGTGGCTGCTTAGTTTAATTCAGTCTTCGTTCATAGTATATCTTGCCCTCTGTTGCTTTCTCTTCTGTATTAGGTCCGTAATGATTTTGGGCGCTAGAACAAGCTTTTGTTAGCTTCTTTGTCGTTATATGTGATTTTTTTTTCTTCCTAGTTCTCCGAGACTTCGTTGGGATTTTATTGTTCTCACAGCCTTCCATCTTGATCGTTCCATTGTTGCTTTCGTCATTCGCCAGATCCACCTCCTTGCTTTTAGTCATCCTCGCGGGCCGAAACTTGGAATTTGCCTTTATTTGGTAATCTAGAATTTATTGGTTAAGAGTCGGAAGCCACAGTTGGCAGTGTATAAGAAAACGGTTTTCTAATTATGGCCCCCTGTCCCGTTGTAATGTAAAATAATGCAGTTAGGTTTTAACATCTTTCGCTGTTCTATCAGTTCAACCACTGTGGCGACCATATTTGCCCTGCGCTTAGCTTAACTTGGATGTCGCTGCTGAGTGCGATTTTCGAACACGAATGGGGATGCTGGGTGAACACTCCAGGACCTTCCTGTACTGTTGTATGTTTGATATGTTAAGTGAGCTGTCCTAAACTTTTGATTTTTGCTGTTGCAGGATGATCCATCACCATACGCAACAACAACACTGGTTATGAACAACAGGCAGAGGTGGTTGAAAGATCACATGCTCCGAGCGCCGATGCCACCTTCAAATCCGGTTCCCTCTGGCCCTCCACCACGTTTTCAAGATAATCTCAAGCATCATAATACACTGGGTGAACGGCGCTCACCATCTGTGCGATCTCCGCCATTTGTTGATAGCAGTAAAATTCATTCAGTTGTGAATAATCATCATTCAGGAAGTCCACCACATACCGATGTTTCCTATGTACAGTCTTCCGATGGTACTGGAGGTCAGTTGGCTTCTTTTACTGTTCGATCCGTTTTTACTGCTTGGAGATATTAATGAGTTTCAGTGAGTTGCTATAGCAGCACATGGATACTATGTCGCTAGAGTTTTCCTCTAGAATGAGAAATAGAAGTTTGCTGGGCCAGTAGTTTCCTGTAGATTCGCTCCTTGCAGTGATGTAGGAGCGAATTAAGCAGCAGCTGTTTGTTGTGCACTGCAATAGTACCGACAGTGCTTGTTGGATGCTTTCAGGAAGTTCGAATGGGCGAAGCAAAGCCGGTACGTTAAACGGGAGGCGTAGCCCGCCGAAGCAAACATTACTCGATATGATACCTCCACCACCGCCTAATGCTCCGCCACCCGAAATGCAAAATAATGTGGTATTCTTTCTCAGCAAAATTTTGCGATCTTTGTAACGTACACATACACACACACACACATACACATACACACACATGCAAACACATACACACATATTATATACTTATATACATACGCATGCAGTATGTGCGATCACGTACAGCCCAAACAGATACGCATATTTAGATTGTTTAATTTTGAGCTCTGAAAACAGTCGCGCTAATTTTTTGTTGCATTGCAGCACGGAACAGAAATGATGAATTTAGCGAAGAGTCATTTGTTGGATGTGAACGAGCACTACGATGCGGTCTCGGATGCGCTGCTGTTCGACGCAGGTACAACAGGGCATGCTGAACATGAGAAGCAGCACAATGTTGTAAATAATAGGCCAAACAGTCGAACTAGAATTAGTAAGCACTTTAATCATATCGACTGCATATTTCGGCTTGCTTCTGTTTCTACAGGTTCATCTTTCGCTCCCTTTCTTTGTTCTAGCCACTTTGTAGTGTTGAAATTTTGAAGCAAAAAAAAAGAAAAAAGGTTTTATGAATTGCATGCGGAAAAAAAAAATTTCCGAATTTAAGATTATCGAAATGGCGCAATGGGTAGTTGTGGTAGAGGACAAGAAGACGATGATAGTCAAAGATCCTCACTTATGAACGATAATAATCGGTCAGCATTTTGCTCGTCTTCAGAAGCGGACGAGGAGAATTCGGATGAAGACAGCAGTCGCCCACGGCGATCCTGTAAACGTGTGGAACGCTCTCAAAGTCCAGATTATGCTGCTCATCGACCCTCACAACCATGTATGGGTATTAGTGCTTCCGCACTTACGCAAAGCTCATGTAAATTTTTACGCCTTTGCTCAGTAACAGCATCTCTGCATAAATTAATTCGTTTCGTACCTTGGAAGACTAAAATGAATGGAGTTTTTCGGGAAAGAGGATTAATTTCAAGCTTTTTTTGTGCGGGGACTGGAGGGAGGAAAGGGTTGGTTTAGACACATAGCTTGGCATGGAATTCTTTGCCTGGCTAGGATTTAAGTTGTCAAGAAACTGTTGGAGAGAGCTGGAAATTCGGAGGAGAAGGGGGAGGGGGGTGGGAGAGCTAGTGTGCAGAGATAAATGCAAAGACGGACTAAAATAACTTAAGATGATAGGTCTTTCGCGTTCCTTGGAGGTTCGTACCGCGTCACGGATTCGCTAGCACCGTGCCTAGTGCTGTATCACTGTTAGAGGAAGTCATTTTTCGGGCATTAACTTATTTTTACAATCAGAAGAAATGCAAATCAATTTAAATCGCTCTATGCCGAATTCTTTGTACCTAAAATTTGCTGATTGAACGAAATTATGAGCGCAGGAAACAAGAAACAACTGCACTGCTCCTAACCTGTATGCCATGGTGATGAGTATCACGCCGATGAGATTGGCTAGAATAAACACCGAGCAAATGGCTGATAATTGACTCTTGAGTGTGATGGAAGTGTACTGAGTTGCTGATAACTATTCTTAGTTCAATAGAACAACAAGCGAATTACAGTTTAAAACTTCAACCAGTGAATC